TATATATATATATTTACTGACCATCATTATAATTAAATTAAATAAAATAAATATCTTGTGGCGGTGAGTTCCCAAAGTTAACCATGCACTCTGGGAAGCAGCACTTGATTTTACTTGCATTGTCTACACAATCACCCCCCCCATACAGATATTAGCCCTAGAAACAAAAGAAAACCAACTCTGATCTTGTCAGATCCCAGAAGCTAAGCAGGGTGGGTCCTAGTTAGTCCTTGGACGGGAGACCACCAAGGAAGTCCAGGGTTTCTACGCAGAGGCAGACGACGGCAAAACCGCCTCTGAACGTCTCTTGCCTTGAAAACCCCATGACATGTGACTATAAATAGGTTGCAACTTGACGGCCCTTTCCACCACAAAAACGATCAAGTGCTGTTATTACAAGTTTCCAATATCAGAGGAAGTTTGTCCCAGTTTTCTTTCCATTCACTCAGAAACCATCCTCACGACAACCTTGTGAGGTAGGTGCATCACAGATGGCAACTCGTCCAAGGCAACCTCCATCGCTGCACAACAAGGTTTACTGCTGGGTATAATCTTTTGTCTGCATGCACACTCCTTCAAAAGAAGTGTGCGTGCATGTGACATGAAAGCTGATACCCAGAATTAAGCTTCATTGGTCTTCGAGGTACCCCTGGACTCAAATTTTGTTCCGTTGCTTCAGACCAACACGGCGACCCACCTGAGTCTATCTATCACTGAACAATGTGTAAACCAACCCAGGACTTCCCTTTCAAGGATAAACCCTTATTTAGGGAAGAAAAAAACCCTTCCTCTGTCTTCACTACTTCCCCATCTTATCTACTCTGCAGGAATAAACTGGTACGAGGCCATATCTTGCGAGACGTGTAACGTGACCAAGCCAAGCTGTTTTGGATATAATTGCGAGTAAGAACGGCTTTTTCTTTGTCTTTGGGAGTGGGGGTGGGGGTTAGTGTTGTGGAGAATGCAAGTCATTCGTAGCACACGACGTGGGTACACATACCCACGTCCCCTGAACCAATATTTGGCTGGCAGGCAGATGCAAAATGTTGACTCCTTGTTAGAAACGCTACCATTTAAGGGGGAGGGTGCATCTTTTAGGGATGTCAGCCCGGAGCTGGATGGCCCAGGCTCACCTGATTTCATCAAATCTCGAAAGCTAAGCAGGGCCGGCCCTGGCAAGTACTTGGAAGGGAGACCTCCAAGGAATGACAAAAACCGAGGGGGGAGGGGAAAGGGGGGGAAAGGG